GTGAGCTGGAGAAGTCCTCATGTTCCAGTGGGGCAGTATGAGTTGAAAGCATTTCCTCAGTGTCGCCCCAGAAAAATTATATCAGTGATTTGACTTCATAATTCAAGTCCCTGTTAGTATATTTGCTCATACTGCTTAATAGTAAAAAGCAGTATAAAAAACTTATGTTGTAAATATAAGTAAAAAAACTTATGTTGGTTATGCTGATTTTTCTGATTTACCATCCCATCTTAATTTCTCTTTTATTTTCTAACTTTCTAAACTGAATTACTCTTGACCTAATACAAAGTGAATTGGTGAACTAGCTGCAGTGTTTAGGATTTCAGGTTCACAGTGAGGTACTGGGAAAATTCTGGCTCAATTGTTACTGACAGAGGAGGCTTTGCAGTTAGTTAGTTATTAGAAGACAGCCCGAGAGGAAAAGGAAAAATGAATTTGTGTGATCTTGTATTGCTAAATACAGCACACTGCTGCTGTCTTTTCTTTCCTGCTTCCTCTACGAGTCATCATTTCAGTGCACTAATCTTTTGAACAGCCATTCAGTGGGAACTGGGCTAGAACTTTGCTAAAGGGTCACATCTACCAACCTGACAGTTATACCTTTACAAAAGAAATAGCATGAATTAATTCAGCATCAAAACCTCTGCATCTTTTACCACCCAACTGCATTTCACACTGTATTACCATCAGTGCACTATAATGGCTATATAAATTCCATCCAGATTCTTCATTTAATTAACTAGCATGCTTTGAGCAAAAATAAAAGTGCTGTTTTTATAGAGGAATAAAAGCTGCATGAAGTGAGTGTGAAGGAGACAAATCATCAAATTAGTTATTCTTCACTGCAGCTCTGGAGAAGGCTGTGCCCTCCTCTTTCTCGTCCGCGGCGATGTATTTCTTCCAGCTTGCTGAACGGATAATGGGGAACGATGTAGCTGCCTGGAATGTTTCTGAGTAGATTGCAATGGCCACATCCTAAGCTTGTTCACAGTTGGGTACTGATGATGTTGTCATCTACAAGTGATTTTTTTTTGAAGCACTTTCTATAGTTGGAGAGGTAGCATGACATAGTAGCCAAGGGCATGAGCTTTGTACCTAGAAGGCCTGGGCTCAGATCCTAGCTCAGCCACTTCGTAGGTTTGTGATTCTGAGCACTTTACTTAACCTTTCTGTGCTTCAATTTCCTGTCCACTAAATGAAGATAATTGGCGTACCTCGGGCAGCAGTGTGCGGATTAACTGAGTTGATCCATGTAAAACCCTTAGAGTGGTGCCAGCATACTAAGCCATTACATCCTGTGCGCAAGGTTAACAGTCAGATGTGACGTTGATTCAGTTGCAACACTGGTGGCTCCTGATCACCTGTGCTGAGCTAACTAGAGGTGACTGATGTGGCTAGGTAAACATCCTTTTATTTCCCCAGGTAGTTCTTTTTTAAAGTACCCTTTTATTATAATATAATTACTTTACAAATAAGAAAATAAAGTGCCGAGAATCAAGGGTATAGTAGGCAGTTGGTTGGCCACCTTCTCCATCCTGCACCCTGCTGCCAGATTTAGCTTTCCAGAGCACTGTGTTCTCACCTCAACTTCTGCTCAGACTGTGTCAAGACTTCCCTAAACAGAAGTTCTTTAGGGGAGATCTATGATGGCAGCAGAGTAGGTAGGCACTACACTTACCTCCTCCCGGAACCAAACAGACTAACAGTAAAGGGATAGAAAAAGATATTTCATGCAAATGGAAAGGAATAATAGAGTCATAGTAGGGGATTTTAACACCCCTTTGACATCAATGGATAGATCTTCCAGAAAGAAAATCATCAAGGAAATAGCAGCCTTATATGATCCACTAGATCAGATGGATTTAATTGATATCTTCAGAACATTTCACCCCACGCAGCAGAATATACATTCTTTTCAAGCACACATGGAACATTTTCTAGGACAGACCATATGTTAGGACACAAAACAAGTCTCAGTAAATTTAAGAATATTGAAATTATATCAAGCATCTTCTCTGACCATAATAGTATGAAACTAAAAATCACAAGAAAAAAACTGAAAAGCACACAAAGACATGGAGACTAAATAACATACTACTAAACGATGAATGACTTAACAATAAGATCAAGGAAGAAATCAAAAGATACCTTGAAATGAGTGAAAATGAGAACACAACAACCCCAAATCAATGGGAGACAGTGAAAGCAGTCCTAAGAGGGAAATTCGCATCATCACAGACCTACCTCAAGAAACAAGAAAAATCTCAAATAAACAATCTAACTTTATACTTAAAGGAACTAGAAGAGAAACAACAAATAAAATCCAAAGTGAGTAGAAAAAAGGAAATAATAAATATCAGAGCAAAAATAAAACAAAATAGAGTCTAAAAAAACAATACAAAAGATTAATGAAACCAAGAGCTTGTTCTTTGAAAAAATGACAAGATGGACAAAACTTTAACTAGACTCATCAAGAATAAAAGAAAGAGAAGCCAAATAAATAAAATCAGAGATGAAAGAGGAAAAGTTACAACTGACATCAAAGAAATACTAAGAAAGCATTGACTCCAGTCAAAATTAATCTCTAGTGCCCTTTCTCAAATATACCACACTCCTTCTTGTCTCTTTTCCTTTGTTAACTTTGTTTTGTCAACAAAAGAGAATCTTTTTTTGTCAAACATGCTCTACTCTGTTTCTCCATTTATCTAAGTCTTACCTAATGTTCTAAGCTGAGGCAGAAAAGAGAAGGTATCTTTTACCACCTCTGTATTTTTTATCATATCACATGATTGTCTGAATACAGTGTCTGCTAAGTAAAGTTTGTTAATGATGATGAACTATCCTGACAGCTCTACCTTCAAACTACATTTGGAATCCAACCACTTAACACTATGTCCACCACTGTCACCCTTGTTCAAGCCACAGTTACTTTTATTCTGTCCTTTTCTCCTTCTCCACCCTTGCCCACCCTTATAGTCTACTCTCAAGACAGCAGCACAAGAAATCCACTCATTTTAAGTCAGATCATATCACTTCTCTGTTCAAAGCTCCAGTCCCTTCCCATCTCACCTGGAGTAAAACCAAGGTCCTTACAAAAGCCTACAAAGCGCGTTAAGATTGGTCACTCTACCCCAAACCCATCCTCGCCCTCCCTCCTGTTACCACTCTGCCCTCATGTCCTGCTTGCTCCTCCCTTCCTGTCCCCTGCCGCTCTCTACTTCTGCAACACTGCTTCCTTGCTATTCTCTAAAGATTCAGGCAAGGCACACCCCATCTCCAGGCCTTTGCACAAACTATTCCCTTTGCCCAGAAAGCTCCTCCTTGGGAAACCTTCATGGCTCCATCCTTCCTGCAGGTCTCTCATCAGATGTTTTCTCAATGAGATCTTCACTTATAGTCTCTAATGTATCATCTCACTAGACTTGAGTGTAAATTCTGGGAGGCAGAAGGGAGAATTTTTTTTGGTCTATTTTGTTCAGTGTTCTATGCCCAGTACCTAAAACAGAACTTGACGTGAAGTAAGTACTTAATAAGTAACTATTGAAGGTATGAATTAAAATTCGATCCTAAAAATATGTCCATATTCTCAACCCTCCCCTCACTTTGTCATATTTAGACTCAAAACAAAATTAAGCATCCTATAATATGATAGCTCCAAGAATATTAAAATAGCCGTAGTTGAATGTTAACCATGGCGATTGGAGCAGAAAGTTCCATCACAGGGAAAAGAGATTTCTGCATCAAGTAAAGAAAAAGAAATGGTTTACAGTGTCATAACTGCCATGTTCAATTATGTTGGTGTCCTGGGGGGAACTGTTGTGGACCCAGTACCAAGGCATATTTTGAGAGAGCAAGTGGTCGGCCACCCATCCTCTTCCTAAGGTGGAGAATGGAGCTAATACATAGTGTTGTTTGTTTTGTTTTTTGTGTTTATCATCTGATGGCAGAGTAAGATGGTGAACCAAACATTAAGGTTGGACTCAGGCAGATCTGGGTTTAAACTCTGGCATTACTGTGTCCTTGGATTATGTAATCTCCCTGAGCCTCTGTTTGATTATCTATAAAATTATTTTTAAATAAATCTTTTCTCTCGGTGTTGTTATAAAAGTTAAATGAGAAAAGACCAATGAATCACCAGAGACATAACACGTGTTTAATAAATGTCTTGTGCCCTGGCCGGTTTGGCTCAGCGGTTGGAGCGTCAGCCTGCGGTCCAGAGAGACCCGGGTTCGGTTCCCGCTAAGGGCACGTACTTTGGTTGCAGTTTGTCCCCGGCCCTGGTTGGTCGTGCGGGTGGCAGCCACTCGATGTGTCCCTTCACATCGATGTTTCTCTCTCTCTCTCTCCCCCTCCCGCTCTATCTGAACAAAAAATGGAAAAATGTCCTCGGGTGAGGATAAAAAAGTAAATAAATAAATAAATGTCTCGTGAGCATTGCATCCCATAGCAAAAGCTGTATGTTTTGCTACTGAATTCTACCTTTTGGCTGAAATAGAAAAAAAGAGAAGTGGCAGTTAGACCGACACCTAGGAGTACTCTTTGGCTTGTGGGGCATGGACCCCGGAGAAGCCCCCCACACGGGAAATCTCTCATCAGTATCTGATGAAGCTTCAAGAGCCTTCCTGAACATGAGCCTCATCCCTACTGGAGTTCTGTGGAAGCTCCTCTTTCCGTCCTCTGAGCCAAGTCTTATTCTTCTGTTTTCCATTTTCAGTTCTCTTCTCCTTATTCTCAAAATGTTGTGCTAGGCGTGTGACGTTGGAGGTTCATACTGAAAATCTCCTTGGAGGTCAAAGGAAAAGAAAGATCAGGCAGCTACTCTATATAATAAAATAATATAAATGTTAATTTTCCCACGAAGATGTGAGGAACATGTATATATTAAGTTTTGGAATAATAACTTCCAGAGGGAGGAAATATTTTGTTTATACCACCGAACTATTTTTGCAGGTTTTTTTGTTTTTCTTTCCCCCTAATGACATCAATGTTGAAACCTTTAGGAAGCCAAAGCAGTCATGGAAGAAACGAGAGCCCTGCGCAGTCGGATTCATCTGGCCGAGGCCGCGCAGAGACAGGCGCACGGGATGGAAATGGACTACGAAGAAGTGATCCGCCTGCTGGAGGCCGAGATCACAGAGCTGAAGGCGCAGCTTGCTGATCGCTCGGACCAAAATAAAGTAAGCAAACCGGCCCCTCTTCTAGTTACCATGGTTTCCTTGCCATTGTCGTGCATCCTGTTTTCATTTTCTTTTCATCTGCACTTCTAAACTAGGTCACTGTTTGTCTCCTCTTATTCAACCATAGGATGATGTGTCGTGATGGGGGCAAGGTGGACGTTGTGAGCCTCCCTTTACTCAGATAGCCTCGGGATGGGAAGGCATGCGCCCCAAATTTATCCGGGTCCCTGGTCAACGTTGTACAGCTCAAGCATTAAATCCTGGAATTAGTTAACATTTAATTGATGACATTGTTTTTCTCCTTTGTTTCTAAACGTGCTCATTTGTCTTGTGGAGACGGAAGGGGGAGATGGGTTGCGCTTTTGTATTAAAGCACTCAGAGAAGTGTGAAAGTTAAATAATTGTGCCCAAGGCCCAAGATAATGAATAGAAAGAAGCTGAGTTTGAATTCTGCAGGCTCAAGTTTCAATAGTAAAATGCTGAATGCTTTTTAGAAAGCAAGGTGAACTTTTCTTATGTGAATTTGTTATGTGATTTCCCCCCCATAATACATACTATATTCATTGAATGGTATTCAAAAATTATAATAGACATACGGTTTTACTTCATTGAAATAAGGTAGAAAATTGAATAGAAATATTTTATAATTTCATAGAGTTCATTTATAAACACAAATAGGTGTTTATGTCTCTAGCCCAATCACCTTTCAAGGGAACATAGGGCAAATTTGAATTATTTATGTCTATTTATTAAAACATAAAAGAGTTAAATACTTTAAATATACCAAATAGAAATGAAACCAATTTTAGACCAGCAAAATACAGAAAAAAATCTGAAATTTTCTCAGGTTAGCTCTTTAGAGTTACTAATATATTCGTCGCATCTGCCCATTTAAACAATTCCATAAGAAGTCTGCTGTTCCTGTCACCCTTTCATAATGCCACAAGGCGAGGGGAAAACATATTGCTTGAGAAAGCAGCAATATGTAAATTACATACATTTATCATTTTTGACCCAGTATTTACATTCTAAAAGTAGCAATATGTACTTATTTCATTAACTTCAACATAATTATTTTAAAAATTTTGTAATTATGAAAATATTAAAGTACTTTTTGGAGGGAAAATTAGTCTTTAAAAATACTTTTTTCTTAAACAACAAGTGTTGGCGAGGGTGTGGAGAAAAGGGGACTCTAGTACACTGCTGGTGGGAATGCAGACTGGTGCAGCCACTATGGAAAACACTATGGTGTTACCTCAAAAAGTTAAAAATTGAACTTCCATGTGTCCCAGTGATCCCACTTCTAGGAATATACCCTAAGAAGACTGAAACGCCCATCAGAAAGAATATATGTACCTCTATGTTCATAGCAGCACTATTTACAGTAGCTAAGATCTAGAAACAGCCCAAGTGTTCATCAGTAGATGAGTGGATAAAAAAGCTGTGGTATATGTACACAATGGAATATTATGCAGCTGTAAGAAAGAAAGATCTCTTAATCTTTGAGATGACATGGAGGGACCTGGAGAGTATTATGCTAAGCAAAACAAGCCAAGCAGAGAAAGACAAATATCACATGATCTCACTTATTTGTGGAATATAATGAACTAAACAAACTGATGAACAAAACTGACTCAGAAACATAGAGGTAGGGTACAAACTGACAAACCTCAGAAGAGGGGGTGTTGAAGGGAAGAGATAAACCACAGAACTTATATGCATGTACGCATAACCAATGGACATAGACAACAAAGCTGGGGATGGGGCAGGGGGGATAGGGAGGAGGATGTCAGTGGGGGGAAAAAGGAGAAACATCTGTAACAGAAACAAATTAATAAAAATAATTTTTAAAAAATATTAAAATAAAAAAAAATACTTTTTTTTCCCCAAAAATAATACATTTAAGGAGTTCACATGAATTTACTTAAATTTGTCTTCAAAGCATAGGTTATTTACAATTCTTTCTTCCACCTCTTAGCTGAGAACATTTGTGTTCCAAGTTGTCTGGTAGTAAAATTAATTCAATTCTCTCTCGGTTTTTTTTTTTTAGCTTAATGAGGTCTTATGCCATTTCTCTTAACAATACCCTTAGCTAAGCCATTAACCTGTCTCTAAAAGCAGTGTTTTTTCAAAGAAGAGGTGTTAGACATGGGCATCTCAACATTTCAAAACCCAGTACCAGTGGAGAAAGAGCAAGACACTATTTTTTCATTGTTTGAGATTGCTTGAAGAGACATTAACCAAGATGTTACAGGATTTATATTCATTCATTCATTCATTCATTCATTCATTTATTATTTTTTTATCCTCACCCGAGGACATTTTTGCATTTAACCACAGACAGAGAGGGAGGGAGAGAGGGGGAAGAGAGAGAGAAACATTGACGTGAGAGAGACACATCGAGTGGCTGCCACCCACACGAACCCAACCAGGCCAGGGACAAACTGCAACCAAGATACGTGCCCTCAGCGGGAACCAAACCCAAGCTAACCTGTCCAGGACCATATATTTATTTTTAGGACACAGATTCTTTTTGTAACAATCTTTTTCTTTTTTATTATAATTTTCCCTTGTATTTTCTATTTATTTATTTATTTATGTACCTTGTTTGCTTTTTCTTTTGTTCATCTAAAGCTTAAGAAATAAAACATAACTAATACTTTCAGAGACCCATAATATCCCTCTGCAGTTACATCTCCCTCCCTTGCCCTCAGAGGTAACCACTTTCTTGGTATTCATGTTGACCATTTTCATGATAATTTTACAACCTATGTATATATCCCTTAAAAATATGTTGTTTCATTTTGCCCATTTATCAATTTTATGTAAATAGAAATACATTGTGTGTGTTATTCTGCCTTGCTTTTTTCACTCAACATCTGCTTTTGTGGTTCATCTATTTGAAGTTTATAGCTCATGTATGTCTTTTCACTGCTTTGTATGGGATTGAATGGGTATCCTACAGTATATTTATCCATTCTGTATTTGTTGGACCATCCAGTTGTTTCTACTTTCTTCTATTATGAACAATGTTGCTAAAAACATTTTTCTGCATATATGTTCTGCTCTACATGTGTAACAGTTTCTGTTCAGTTAATATCTTGGAGCAGTATTGCTGGATTAAAGAATGATTGTCTGATCAACTTTACTAGGTAATGCCCAATGGTTTTTCAAAGCATTTGAACTAATTCTTACCCCCATTGGTTGAATGAGAATTACCTTTTAGTCTACATCCCTGCTGACACTTTGTTTTCCTCTCCTTTTACTTTTTATCAGTCTGTCAGGTGTGATAAGTGTATCTCATAGTGGTTTAATTTGAATTTCCCTGTTTACTAATGACTTTGAGCTACTGATGTGCTGGAATCAGCTGGCACTGGCTCAAGAGAGCTGAGTGTACATATCTTTGCAACTCCATGGTTAGCGACACCACGTTGGTAGCTTGAAAACAGCCATGACAGAGTTCTTTACACTCCCGAAACGCTATAAACCAGGGCTTTGCCCCCGCCCCAGACAGCTAGTTGAGCATACACTTACGTATTTATTAGGCATTTGTGTTTCTATGTGAAATGGCTTTTCATATCCTTTAGCCATTTTCCCATTGGATTGTCATTTTCATATTGGTATGTAATGACATGTTCTGGTTACTAGACCTATAATGCATTATATGTTATAAAATCTGCATTTATGGCTTGCTTTTTCACCGCATGGTAAAATGAACAGGTGTTCTTAATTTCCATGTAAATAAACTTACCAGTTTTTCCCTTGTGTGTCTTTTCAGAAGTCCTTCCATTCCCAAAGATTAAAGGTCTTTCTTTAGATTTGCCTCTAGAAATTTTACAGTTTTGCCCCTTCTGTCTTTGGTTGTATGGCATTGTATGAGGTGGGGATCCATTTCATTGTTTCTTTCTTCTAAATGAATAACCAACTATGCCAGCACCATTTATTCAAAAGCCTCTTCTTTCCTATTGATCTACAACATTAGCTTGGTGGTATATCAGGATTTCATGTGTATGGATCTTTTGGGTGGGCTCTCTATTCTCTTTTATTGGTCTTGTTTTTATATTCCTGTGCAAATAACACTGTTATTACTATATCTTTCACAGTAAATCTTGGTATCTACTCACCCTGCCTAGTTCTTTTCTTTAGAAGTGTGTTGGCTACATTGCCCTTTGATCCTTCGTATGTTTTTAGACTCAGTTTATAAATTCCACCCCCCCAAAATTAGCCTTTTTACTGAAAATGCATTAAGTATATAGATTAATTTGGGAACAGTTTACATATTTATGGTTGAGTCTTGATTCATGAACACCGCTGAGTCATAGAAAAGTAAATTTCTTTGTGTCCAGAGAATCTGGTCTGAAGAATAACAACAAAACTTGTTGATTGTTGTTTCAAAGCTTACTATATGGCCAGTGTGACAAACGTTCAAGGTAAGCTTGAAACGACTTCTGCCGTTGTTTGATGTAGTAGTTGTATTTTAGACCATTAGATCAGAGTCATTAGTGTAGGGTTCAGTTGTTCTCTAGTCACATTAATTTGTCAGGGAAGTGTGTTAAAATCACAGACAAGGTAGCTTGTGGTTAATGTTCTTTATATATTTTGAAGTAATGTTTTTAGCTGTATATAAGGTTGGAATTATGTTATTATCCTTTTATGAAAATGTTATGATTCTTCAATCTAGTCATCTTCTTTTCCCCTTAATGCTTGTTTTTGATTGATATTAAAATAGTTAAATTTGCTTTCTTTATCAGCGTCTCTATATTTTAGTTGTGTCTGTGGTAAATAACATGTAGTTGAATTCACGACCCCTCCCCCCCATTTTAATAATGGTTTAACTTTAACTGGAAAGATTGTTTCAGTTACATTCTTTTACTTGCTGATGCACTTGGCTTCATTTCCATCCTCTTAATTTGTGCTTTTTATTTGTCTTCTGTTTTCTTGTTTTTCATTTCTTGTTGCTGTCTCCCCTCCCCCCGTTCTTCTTTTCTTTTGAATTGGTTCAGATGTCTCCTGAGTTCTCCCATTCTGTATTTCCCTCTGCTGGTTCACAAGCTGTGTACTCTTTTTCTAATTTTTAATGATTATCTAAGAAATTTTAACATTCTATTTTAATTTAAATTATAAAACTAATCACTAGCTTTCCCCTTTCTTCTTCTTCTTCTTTTTTTATCCTCTCACCTGAGGACATTATTGCATTTATCTTCAGATGGAGCAGGAGGGAGAGGGAGGGAAGAGAGAGAGAGAAACATGGATGTGAGAGAGACATATCGACTGGTTGCCACTCACACAACCCCAACTGGGCCAGGGACAAACTGCAACCGAGGTACGTGCCCTTAGCGGGAACCGAACCTGGATCTCCCTGGTCCACAAGCCCAATGCTGTAACCACTGAGCAAAACTGGCTAGGGCTCCCCTGTCTTCTAAGAGCACTTTAGAACATAAATGCAATCATTTCTTCCTACTTGATATCTATTTTTGTCACTGTTTCCGTTCTTTCTTGACTTTCAACACCAAACTTAGACACTGTTGCAATTATTTTGTGCTGTCAGCCTTCGCTAAGGTAGACTGCCATGTTTACTGTTTTCTGTGTTCAACGTTCTTTCCTGCTTCTCAGACCTTGTTGAAATTATTTTCTTTGTTTCTGAAGTACAGCTTTTAGTGAGCATCTGTTGGTAATAAACTCACTCCATTTTTGTCTGAAAACATCTTTATTGAACTCTTGTTCTTAAAATATATTTTTGCTACATTTAGAATTGTGGAGTTAACATTTAATTTTTTTTTTTTTTTTTTAGTGGTTTTATTCCATGGTTGCAATAGTCATCCACCAGTCTTTTGTTTGCAACCTGTTGTTTCTTTGTAGATGATTTTAAGATTTCTTTATCTTCGATGTTCAGCACTTTGTCTATGAAGAGTCATGTATAGACTTAATTATTTAGATTCATTGACATGCCATTTTTTTAAAACCCTAAGCTGTTATCCTCAGCTATTTTTCTTTCATTCTTTTTGGTCTTTCTTGTGTAATTCAAGGTTAGATATATGCAAGATCTTCTCATTCTTTTCTCCTTACCTTCTCTTTTTCTTTTATATTTTTCATTTTTATCTTTCTGCTTCATTATGAGGAACTTCTTTTCCTCTTTCTTCCAGCTTACCCATTCTATTTTCAACTGTATCTAATTAGATAATAAGCCGATAAATTGAGTTGCTAATTTATTTATAATTACATTTTAAGATTTTTTTTATGCCATTGGATCTATTTTGATTTAAAGCTTTATTATGCTTTTAATTTCTTCTTAATTTTCAAAACCTATCAAATATTACATTATAATCTGTATCTGATCACTCCAGTGTCTGTTGTCTGTATAAGTCTTACTCTGTAATTTGTTTCCTTCATTGGACTTTTATTTATGGTAGTTTATTTCCTGAGGGTCATGTTCTTTAGATACAATGGAAGAACTACTTCAGATTTGAATGTTGAAAATCTCTCTCTAGAGAAGTTGTGTGTTTTCTTCTACCAGCCTGGGACCAATTTAAACTAAATTTTCAGCTTATAAATTTACAGATTAAACAATTAGTATACATTCTGACCTTAAACCTACTTGTGGTTGGCGTTTGTTCAGGGGATACTTTTTAAAATCCATTCACCAAAGCTAAAGTCAAAACCCTGTTCACTTTGTGACGTTCTTTCTTCCTAGTTCACCCAGTGAAATTCTCCCACTTGCCATCTGTGCCTGATGAAACCCCAGAGTAGGCCTCAGCACTCAGTGTGTACCCTCAGAGCAAACCGTGCTGCCGTGTGCTCTGACTCCAGTGCTCGCTCAGCGTGGCTGCTGCTCGTCTTCCCGGAACGCCCTCTTCCCTGCCAGCTCAGCCTCACTGGATCGCCTTGTATTTAATATAGGTGTACCTTTTCAGCAATTTGTATCGTGCCACGCAGATAGGGGTTTCTCTTAGCATCTGGTAAGCCAGTTGCAAACCAACAAACAGACAAACAAAAGAACAATGTAAAGCAATTTAAATATAATGTAGTATAGGAATCAATAAAGTTATATGAGGCTTATGTCATAAAATTTGCAGTGCCCCTTTGCAGCTTAACTGATAAATGGGCCATTGTTTAGAGGTGCTGCCCCAAATCAGGTGTACATAAGAAAGAGAAAGTAAATGATATGGCAATGTTGGATACTAGATAACAAAAACTGGAAACAGGAGCCTGTCACGTGACATAGCAGAAGGCTATACCATCTTTTCTGCTGTCTCTGTCCAGGAAAGTGTTCAGGAGTTAAGAAAGAGAATCACAGTACTTGACTGCCAATTGAGGAAATCCGAAGTGGCTCGAAAAACCTTTGAGGCATCCACTGAAAAGCTGCTTCATTTCGTAGAGGTAAGTTTTCCTATTACATTACTTTACATCCATTATTAAGAAATGTATAGGCAACTAACATATAGATAAACATCACTGTTTGGTGGCTAGTGAAACATTCTCTGGGGTCCAAACAGCAATATTAACTTAGAGGCAGACTTAAAATCACCTAGATAATGCAAAAGCAGCTAACATATAGATTGTTAAGAGAAATGACTGAGACAGGGTGACATGATCCCATATATTTACTGTGTTTTAATGAACATGTTTCTAATACAACTCTTGATGCTCTATACACATTGTTTGATAAACATTTACCAGTTATAAAGAAATGTTTCAGTAGTTCTATTTCTGAATATAATCACGTTAATATAATTGATCCCCACCACGACCATATAACAAACATCTTTTTAATCAATTGAGGGGGTAGCAGGAAAGAGGAGGTTATAAATATTAAGTAAGCAAGAAAAGACATTTTAAAAAATTATCAAACTTACAAATCTCCTTTACTATTTTGTTTGTTACTAGGCTATTCAAGAAGTATTTTCTGATAATTGTGCTCCTTTATCAACTTTAAGGTAAGAATATGTAAGGTGAGAATACACTTTATTTTTTTTATATTATTCACAGTTTGTTTTCAATTTAAAGTTTCTTATCAGGAGCTACAAGCATACTAATACTATTTATTTATTTCAAACTGCAAGTTTATAGTCATTATGATACATGATACAAAAGCAATATTTCCGTTTGTACATTTTCAAAGCAATTTTTTTCTCATCTTTAGTAGCTGACACTAGCACTCGACTTCTAGCAGTGTGTGCTTACAGAAACAGGCAGATTCTGCCGTTCGCTACGAAGACAGCAGCTTAATCAGAGAAATGAGTCATTGTATTCTTCTTATACTTTTTATTTCCACAGCATTTTTTTAATTTAGAAGAATTCCTATACTAGTACACTTTTAAAATCATTTTTTGTAATGTTTTATTTCTTCTAATGAAAGAATTTGACATTTTGTTATCCATGCTGCTTATGGTGTGAGATATTTCTGTGAATTCCATGAGGATTTCTTTTAGTAACGATGGTAAAATACTCAGCAATCAGATTCCCCTTGTATGAGTTAGACGGTGTCCCCTACCCCCACCCCAAGGTCTCACTGTGACCTTGAATAATAATTCAAAAGTTTGGATATTCAAAATGAAAGTTAAATGTCTACTTCAAAGCTAGAGTCTGCCCTTGCCTTAAAGTAATTCATGGAAAACAGATAAATTTAAAAAGTGACATTAAGCAAATATTCACCATTTCTTAAAAAGTTAAACACTAGCAAAATTTGGTTCAGTCTTTTTTAATATACTATGTCTTCTGAAGTGGATATTTGTCTTGGTTATTCAACACAGAAGAAAGGCTCTGTTTGAATTTAAGAATTGATGTTTTTATTTCTCCTCTTGAATTAATCCCATCATGCTTAAGAAGATGGACAGTTAGTAATGATGATTTTGTCATTAGTTTAAAATTGTCTCATTTCAACTAAAATATTTAGCATAATGACTTTCTGAAGTGAAACCTTGCATTTTTAATGATATCTGAATGCATTTCAGGTTACATTTGCATTTTTAAAAATAATATAAATGCTCTAGGCTGTCAGATTTAGGGGCAACAAATGGAAGTGCATAAGAGATCATTTCATGAATATATACGCATATATAAGTTATAGTTGATATTAATACAATAGCAAATGTGTGTTTAATAAATGTATGTTTATGAGCTTAACTTGAATTTTTACAAAGTGAAATAAAAGGCTACATCACATTAACACAATATAGGTACTCACTAAATAAGCCCAACCTAATTTTTCAAATATGCCGACTTATTACACAGTAAAGAATTGAAAATAGAAAAAGGTTTTCTGTGAATCACTTCACTTATGGCCATAAGAAGGCAATGTTCCCAGATACAGAAATATTTTTGTACAGATTTATTACTAGTAAGAAATCAGATTTAGCGAAGAGAGGCGTTATTTATTGTGTACTAAGTTCAGCTCTGTCGCGTCCCCCTCACAGCGAAGGACGAGCCCTGCTGGCCCCTCCGACGACGCTCACGCCGCCGGGGAGGAGTGGCCGCCACGTCCCCGCAGCGCTGGCCCTGGAGTCCAAGGAGCTCGTCCAGTCCGTGCGCGCCGCCCTCGACATGGACTGTGAGTTTCCGCCCCTTACCGCTTTCTAAATAGAGTCCATTTAACAAAACAGAAGAAGAAACCTTCAAGTTTACAGTTTAGCTATGTTCGAGTATTGGTTTGACTACAGTAAAATTGACAGCGAGGTGATGAAAGCCTAACGCGCTGACGGCCGGGGAGACGGGTTCAGGGAAAGTGCCCAGGATGGCCTCCAGCAGAAGGTAGCTGGTGCAGACACGCTTGACTGCCGCCGGAAGTCTTTTCGAAATGGAGGAATAAACATGAAAATAAGTCCACAGTAGCACTGGAAACCTGGAAGGGTGGAATCAGTGTTGAGGAATTTTAAAATAATATCCAGCAGCTGGACCTCTGGCCGGGGCGCCCCAGTTGGTTGGAGTGCCATCCGTACACCGAAAGGTGGAGGTGGGAGGCCTGGTCAGGGCACTGCCCAGGCTGCGGATTCCATCCCCGTCAGCTTCTGTACGGGGCAGCCAGTTGATGTTTCTCTCCTGTACATGTTTCCGTCTCCCTTTCTAAAAATACATACATACATAACATACATAAAATATGTATATGTATACATATGTATATGTATGTGTATATGTGCATGTATACATATATATATGTATAACAGATGGAGTAAGATTGAAGGTACAACCCAACTGAGCAGAAAACCTCAAAACACAATAAATAGGAAGACAGGATGCTGAAACAGTGAGTTCAGCAGAACCATGGAAAAATCCCCAAGATCACAGGCAGGGAGAACCAGGAACAGACCCTGGGGCAGTCAGCACGGTAATCAAGGGAAGGGCTGTGGAATAGCTGAACCCGTCCCCTGCTCTTTAGAGCTGCTTGCTCAGCGTTCGCTCCTAGGCCGGGGCCAAGAGAACACCTGTCTTCAGGAAAGGCACGCTCTGGCACTGGCCACCGCCCGAGTCACCGTGGAGCTGGAAGGAGAAGCAGGCAATGCTCTAGTGACTTCCAGCATCTCCGAAGACAGGGGTCCTTGGGGAACAGCTTCAGTGGCTGGGCATGTCCATCCTTCCCTCCTGCGATCGGGCACCTCTGCCTCTTCGTGGCTGTGGACTCCCTCCTCATTTGCTTGTTTTTCTGCCTTTGCCCTTGATCTCAGTTGGTCTGCTCATTGTTTTGTGCTGGCGTCTAACATTTCACTGTTTCTATAGTTTTCCATTCTTAATTTTCCTGTGCTGGGGACCAGATGTCAAATATATGTAAATAGAAATATATAGAGAAATAGATAAAATTCTATGTTGAATAAGTACAAAAATAGAAAGTTTTGAGTAAAGTCCTGGGTAGTAGAAGACTTGACTTGGTGTAGAGTAATATTCAAAAATCCTCTGGGGTAACTTTTGACTTCAGTACTGTTAGAGAGGATTGGAAACCATGCCTCTAATATTATCTGCTTAATTCTTGCAGTGGGGCTTTTAAAAATTTTGTATAACCTGTCACCTTTTTTAAAACCAAATTACATTTCAAAAACCCTGTAAGAACTCTCTATGTAAAGAAATTCTATAGGTTTGAAGGGGGGATGAAAAATAACCTCTCCTAATGTATTATGGATAAGCTGAGAATTTTATATATCAGACATTTTTAAGTTAGAGTGGGAACAGGGGAGGGAAACACCCTCACAGACACAGCCCAGTGGACACTGCCATCATTAATCGTAATTACCTTGCTAACACTAACCCTTATATTTGTCAAACATGATTATTCAAAGAAAATATTGGAAATTCAGCAGAACTTCTATGGAAGAAAAGTGAAAAATTCCATCTACCTTTTTTATCCATTGCAAGATTATATATACTTTGTTGCTTAAAACTAGCAAATAGTTTCTGTGTTTTCTTTTTATTAGAAATGTAATCTCCAATGTTAACATATTTTCCCAGTACTTTTATAATTTTATATGATGTATCTTTTTTTTTTTTTTTTTATCCTCGCCCGAGGACATTTTTTTTCCATTTTTTGTTCAAATAGAGTGGGAGGGAGAGAGAGGAAGAGAGAGAGAGACAGAAACATCGACGTGAAAGGGACACATCGAGTTGCCACCCTCAGGACCAACCAGGGCTGGGCACAAACTGCAACCGAGGTACGTGCCCTTAGCGGGAACCGAACCCGGGTCTCTCTGGACCACAGGCTGACGCTCCAACCGCTGAGCCAAACCGGCCAGGGCTATGATGTATCTTTTTACATTTAATAATTCAGATCAACTCAGCTTACTTTTCTTTCTCTTCACAGTAGTGTTTTCTGCATATGTAATGAAAAACAGAATTACCACCACGAGGTGGATGATTTCGCTGCAGTCTTCACCTCATTTTCTTAACCATGGCTGTCTGGTCATTTCAAGTTACAGTTTGAAATTTCCTCTTGGGTATCTGCCTCCATTTTCTTCTTGGTAGAAGGACACTCCCAAGATGTTATACTATGGGATTCCTTTTGAAATGGGAATAGGATTCTTGGGTCGTAGAGCTTAAAAACAACTTCTGAGGAATATCCACAAGACTACTCTGAAGCTCTTTTGGCTAGTGGACTACACTAACATCTGGGCAAAGTCCTCCTCCCAGAATCATGCACCGATACAGTTTTTGCTTTCATTTTTGCGTGTTTATGAACCCCAATTTAAGAACCCTTATGAGTAACAGAGAATGTGGATACATTGCAAACATGGCCATCCCGTCCTCCGCTGAATACCTTTAGCAGCGGAGAAGTTTATGAATCCTAGAGGCAACCTGGAGTAGCAGCTTGAACCCGTGTCAGCAGTGCTCCTCAGAATCTCTGATGCTCCAGGGAGCATCCCAATTGGTCACCCAACTTTCTTGCGCAAATTATTTAACCTCTGGGCCTGTTTCCTCATATACAAAGTAGAGATCATATCGGAAGCAACAGGATTGGAGGATTAAGTGAGATACATATAACGTAGCTAACAAAGCACTTGGTAATATAAGAGTTTCCATAAATGGACATTACCACAGCTGCTAAGCTGTTACCACATTTTCATTATTTTTTAAACTTATTAATTTAAATGTGCCTCTCTGTGCTAAGTACTAGATAATTATTGTCTAAAGCTTCTTTCAATTTGGATACTTTTGAAAATATGGTAGATGAGAGCTTTTCTTAATACATAAAATGTGTTATTATGGATTTTGAGTTAGAATATTATCACCACAGGAAACTGTGGCTAAATATCTGAGTCAGCATCATTCAGCTACTTAAGCAAACTTTGGTGTGTTCTGTTACACTACTTCCATCGAAACAGTATATAGACAGAATGGGCATATTTCATCATTTTTAGAATACTTGGAGGTGCTTGTTTGTGTTGTTCTTCATCAGTATTTCTATGGTCAGTATCGTAATACTTTAGTATAATCTCTATTTAAAATAACTACTTGCTTTGAACTGTAATCTTTTTTGATTGACATCTAGATTGACAGACGAATTCTGCAACAAAAGCTAGAAGAGGCTGTTCTATTTTTTAAACGCACAATAAAAGAATCTAGCTAGACAATCCCTTAGGAGCTCTTCAATGAAAGAGAACTTATTGACTGTCTGATTAATTGGTAGCACAAAGGCAGGCTTCTACCTCCCTTCAGGATTCCCATGGAAATGATTAATGAACTGTAAAAATAGGGTACGATCTTTAAGAGCACTAGCAGTCACAGGGAAACCACCCAATCTTTTCAGTACAGAGCAGGTAGGGCCCCATAGAAGGAAACACAAAGGGCCAATTTGTTCCTCCTGCTGCCGAACAACTGTAGCAATTATGAGGAGGGCAGCCCTGGCAGGAGGGCACCCCGTGCTACATTCAAAGTGGAAGAGGTAATAAATAAAGTCAGAGACTGCCTGGAGGGTAGGTAGGTTCCTTTTACTCTTCTTATCTTGGTGAGTCAGTGGCGTTTTTGAAATTCTCGGGGTTCATACAGATTCTGTGTTGAGCAGGAGGCCCACCGGGCATGTCCTTCAGGCATCCCAGACGCACTTTCGTCTGGCAGGCACGGGCACACAGGAAGCTTTGAACGTACAGGGAGTGGAACGCAGTGGTTTCCCTGCATGCGGCCTCGGCCATGGCTTGTGCTCACTCCCCTCAGACCGCCGCGTCGTCCTTGTCCACGCAGTGCAAGTGCACACTGGCCGGCCCCCAGCCTGAGCTCTGAGGGGTAACTCCAACAACATGGCTGAATGTCAGGGCAGCAGGGGTCCACGCATCCTTCGAGAGGTCGAAACCACATTAATTCTGAGCAGAGAGCCCTCTACAGCCAAGCTTTAATAGAGAGAAATATATCACACATACACACACACGCACACAAACACACACACATTTCATCCAAGCTCTTATAAACAAATATATACATAAATATACCAATATGTTTTTATGAAAAAAGTCCATGGTATTAAAGTTAGAAAATATAGCTGTCAAGATTCAGAATAGACTTTGGGAACAAGATGGTAGTGATCTCATGCCAAAACCTCCCCATTCTGCTCTTATACTTAGAAATGACATTTAAAATTGTGTTTGCGTGTTTGAAAGATTAAAACCAAGAGAGGAACGTCTGCCTGCACCAAAACAGGGGGTACAACTGGAATGATAGTGGGCCCTTGAGCTGCAGAGAGTCACGGAATGTGGAGCAGCTGGAGCAAAGGTTTCCACACCACGAGGGCCCGAGAGAGGTTTCATGTATCACAATGAGCGGAGCAGGCAGGTTCCTCCCAGTAACGCTCTCTCTTCGGAAGCTACTTGAGTGTGACACTGAAAAATAAAATGCCCCCTGATTGAGATCCGCCTGGGCCTGGCCCCTGATTAAAGTTGAAGTAAATATTCTCATCCACTGCAGGTGGGAATATAACTTGGCACAACATTCTTGGGCATCCGTTTTACAGTACATATCGGGGTTTTCGAATCTCTGTTTGAAAAGTTTCTTGGAAAGTTAAAAACAAAGTTGTAATGGTCATATATTGTAACTTTATAAGTTAAAAAATATCATGGTCGTGTCTTTTAACTTAATCAC